GTGTGTGTGTGAGTGTGTGTGTGTGTGTGAGTGTGTGTGTGTGTGTGTGAGTGAGTGAGTGTGTGTGTGAGAGTGTGTGTGTGAGTTTGTGTGTGTGTGTGAGTGTGTGTGTGTGTGTGTGAGTGAGTGAGTGTGTGTGTGAGAGTGTGTGTGTGAGTTTGTGTGTGTGTGTGAGTGTGTGTGTGTGTGTGTGAGTGAGTGAGTGTGTGTGTGAGAGTGTGTGTGTGAGTTTGTGTGTGTGTGTGAGTGTGTGTGTGTGTGTGTGAGTGAGTGAGTGTGTGTGTGAGAGTGTGTGTGTGAGTTTGTGTGTGTGTGTGAGTGTGTGTGTGTGTGTGTGAGTGAGTGAGTGTGTGTGTGAGAGTGTGTGTGTGAGTTTGTGTGTGTGTGTGAGTGTGTGTGTGTGTGTGTGAGTGAGTGAGTGTGTGTGTGAGAGTGTGTGTGTGAGTTTGTGTGTGTGTGTGAGTGTGTGTGTGTGTGTGTGAGTGAGTGAGTGTGTGTGTGAGAGTGTGTGTGTGAGTTTGTGTGTGTGTGTGAGTGTGTGTGTGTGTGTGTGAGTGAGTGAGTGTGTGTGTGAGAGTGTGTGTGTGAGTTTGTGTGTGTGTGTGAGTGTGTGTGTGTGTGTGTGAGTGAGTGAGTGTGTGTGTGAGAGTGTGTGTGTGAGTTTGTGTGTGTGTGTGAGTGTGTGTGTGTGTGTGTGAGTGAGTGAGTGTGTGTGTGAGAGTGTGTGTGTGAGTTTGTGTGTGTGTGTGAGTGTGTGTGTGTGTGTGTGAGTGAGTGAGTGTGTGTGTGGAGTTGGGGCCTGTTTGTCCAGTGGCCCGAGCTTTGTTCTGAGCTGTCTGGCCCGGTGCCCGTGGGTCACTGAGTAAGCGATACATAAAGATCCCATCTCGGGCCATTAACTCTGCTCCGGACTGAAGGCCTGAGGACCCCGTGGCTGTGCCTGAAAGACAGAAGGGAAGCCACGGGTTACCTGTCCTCGGAGCTGCCGCTCTAAGTCACTGGCGGGCGTGAGGCCGCCCCGTGCCCGCCCGCAGTCCCTGCCGCAGTCCGGCGGGTGTGCTGACCACGCATCGTGCTGGGCGGAGGGTGGGCTTGTCTGACCAGAAGCCATTTCTGCCGCCTCTTGTCTCCAAGCCGGGTCAGATTTCCGCCGGTGGGTGAGCGGGGAGGCCCTGCCTCTGCTTATGGGGCTGGAGGAGGGAGGCCTGGGCGGCGGTGAGGCTGAGCGGGGACACAGGGTCCTGTCAGAGGTGTCCCCTGTTTGTCATGCCTCCTCGTGGGCCTCCGTTTCCTTAGGCCCAGAGGGGTGCAGTGCCCCCTGCACACACGGGGGAACTGCGTGTTGAAGTCAGCGGTCAGCGGTCAGCGGTCAGCAACGGGCTGTGGGAAGGCGCTGGGGACGGTGCTGAGTTCTCTCGGCCGAGGATGGGCCGGCTGCTCCCTGCTCCCCGGTTCAGCGATAGCAGGAGGGCCACCACGGACGTGACTCATGAATGTCCCTCTCTGCGTGAACGCGCTTCTGGGAGCAGCTGGCTGCTGGGAAATTCTTACGGCATGAGTAGTTCTGTTCTGGTCTTATTTTGGGTCTCGAAAAAATAGTGGTCGTGGAACATTGAGTCACTGGGAGTGAAAAGTTGGGTTCTGCTCAGACTTCAAAGCGCGCGTCCCTTGCCCTGGGCCCCGTGGGCCCCGTGGGCACCGTGCTCGTTCTTGGTTTAGAACGAGTGGGCAGTGTCCGGGCCTCGTGGGGCCAGGGTGCGCCTGGCGGGCGAGGAGGGGCCGGCGGGGATCTTTGTGCGGCTGCTGACTTCTCAGGACCCCTGCCCCTGGTCCTCTACTGGGAGGGGGATGGAGGGCAGGAGTGGCAAAGCCCCCAGCTGGGTCTGGGCAAAGGCAGGAAGGCCAGCTGACCCACCTTTTCCCTCATTCCTCTGAGAGACCTGGGGGCCCTGGGGAGGAGAGGCTGGGGGGGTGTGTGTTTGGGGGGCTCTCGCCAGCCCGGGGGACCAGGGTCCAGTTCTGATTGGAGCTCTGGGGCCCCCCACCCCCGCAGCGTGCTTTGGGGTCCTGGCCCTCAGGGACTTGGGGGCCGAGGCCTTTTCTTCCTGCAAGTGCCTATGTCTGTCCGTCACAGGCCTCTCAGCTCCGTGGGGGCTCGCTCCCCTCTCGTGTTTCTTGGGGGGTCTCCGCCTCAGTGGACTTGCTTCGGGAACAGTGGGGTTTGCTGTCTCCAGTGCCTCCAAGGCTAGGACACTCCGTGAGGGTCGGGTAAGAGGGGGAGAGATGCAGGCACGTCCAGCAGCACCCGCCTCGCTGTCCTCCGTTTAGCCCCTTCCAAGGGGCCGTCTGGGAGGTGGGCCCAGGTGGGAGCCACTCGCCTGTGGGTTCTGGGTCTGTGGACCCAGAGGACCGGCCTTTGGCTTCCCTACCTGGTCAGCCCTCACCTGGGCATCCTGGGAGGAGGCGCCATAGGGGACACCCTGCCCTCCCCACAAGTCCACAGCTTTGCCACGCAGTGCGGTGAGGGCACCGCATGTGGGGGACTCCGTGTAGGCTTTGCGGGGTCGGTGGGGTGCCGGGCACCCCCTGCACATCCGGACATTCCCCGTGAGGGAATGGAAGCCTCCCAGGGGACCTTCTGTCTTGGGGAGAGAGGGTGGGGCTGAGCTGCAGGAGGTGCTGTGGTCGGGCCTGGGGGGCAGCTGGTCACCGTGTCCTCTTTGTACCTTCAGGGGCCGAGGATGCTCTGGAAAGCAGCCTGAGGGCCCACGGGGGCCACGCCCCCAAGCACACGCCCGAGAAGCGGCCTGTGCCCGTGCGGAGGAAGAGAAGCATTGGTGAGTGAGGGGCTGGGGGGGGGGGGGGGGGCGGGAGGGGGCCCCCGAGGCCGCTTCCCTCCTTCCTCCTCCAAACAAAGGCCCAGCCTGCTCAGGGGCCCCTCCCTGCTGCAGGGGTGTCTCCCTGCCCAGCCCGACCCTGCCTGCCGAGCCCCTGGAGAGGGAGCCGTCATAAATTCCTTAAGTGCCGGTCTTGTTGGGGCCTGCTCCCGGGAGGCCGCGCTGGAGGACGCGAGTTTCATTTCCAGTTCGTCATGCGGAGCCCGGGCGCTCCTG